GGGCACATTGGACGGTGGAGGAAGCGTGGTGGGACCCTCAAGGGGTTGTCGACTTGTCGTTTGCGAACCCAAAAACCTTATATCATCATCATCCTTCTGCTTCAAAGTTCAAAGGATCGAAATCGAACTTCTCTCTCTATCAGGCGTAAGCGTAAGGCGCTGCTGAATGCTGATGCCCTTTTGCCCAAAAAAGTGAAAAACAACGCGACTGTTGCTGCAGTTGCTTCTGCTGATGTCTAATATTGTCTAGTCTTGATTGATGACACTGGGCTGCCAATTTTGGTGGTGGACTGAGCCCCCCCTACTCGGCCCATAGAATTGGACGGATGGGCCCCAGTCCGACTGTTACCAGACTTGGTCCGGCCAGTGCCGCACAAGGTGGGTTTGACAGATGTGGACCCCGGCTTGTTTCGACCTCATTATTCCATGATTCGATCCAATCAAAGATCCGAAGAAATTTGGAAATTTTCCCTTATACAATTTCGCTATGACTGTCTACTTTTCCGGGTTTAGAGTAGAAACCAAATTATTGCAGTCGTAGTCTCTCTAGGAGGGAGAGAGAGAGAGAGAGATCAACAGAGCAAAGCGTACCCGCTTACCCAGTAGTACCCAGCCAGCACAAGTCGGGTTGGACCCATCCATCCTAAGAGATCTGTTGTCATTGAACCCGAACTACGGAACCGAGGGTGAGATCTGAGATGGTATAGTACCATTGTGTTTGGACTTTGGAACACCTTTCTCTCTTTCTCTGAACTTTTGTCTCATAAAATGATGATCATCGAGATCTATGGTAATAATTATTATTTTTTTTTTTTATTTTTAAGAAATACGGAGGTAGGGTAATAAAACCTTCAGAAAGGGGGCCCACGGGCGGTTTCGTCTTTCTCCTGCATTTCGGGCCTCCTCCGCTGCTGCAGTACAGCATGAAGTGGCGTTGTTATAGAATTAGAATCTCAACTACCAACTTGCCACGAGCTGCCCACAACCAAAGGCCTGGCCTGCCTTCATTCAGCAGTTCCAGTTTCATTGCTTAAAAAGTGCTTTCCATGTTATTTCATCATCTCCGGTGATTGCATTCTGAATGATATTGTCTTTGTTTAATTGTTTCGTTACTATTGATATTGTAGCTTAAGCTGCGTTTGTTTGGGATACAAACGTCAAATACTGGGGTATTAATGAACCCGGTTTGAGTTTGTGAGTGTTTATTTATTATACAAAAGTGAATCGATTAAGTGGAGGGAATTTTGTTGTGTCCTGAGGAGAATACATTACTATATCCATTAAACTTGTACTCTTTTGATCTTGATGCACATAGACTTATTCTGTTGATGGAGCGCTAGAGAGACCACCATACATACAGCTATTTACATCAACTTGAAACAAACAACAAGAGTATAAAATAGGTTTACACTTAATGAATCATTTTGCATTTATGAACCAAAAAGAAGGTATTTGTGTATGTACGTACCACAAACATACGTAATTAAATGGTCTTCAACTTTAAGAACTATAAGCTCAAAATGGTCAAAAATTTAAAAACTTCAAAGATCAAATGAAAATTTTGGATTAACAATATGATACACTAGAATAATTACCAAATGGTATTCAACTTTAAAAGATAAAACCCTAAAAGCTTAACAAGTCTTTTAGTCATATAGACCGTGAGAATATTTTCCTAAGAAAACGTGCCAAATGATACCTTAGTTAATTAATAATACGGACAAAGATCAGGAGTTGGGAAAACTTGCACGTGCGTCAAGAGTATGCGAGCTTTAAGAATATAGAATTAGATGAATGTAAAACCAGAGCCAGAAGGGTATTGTCAATGTCTCCAATGTTGCTAGTTGCTAACTTGCGCATCTGGATGATGCAACCCCCCACCCGAAGTTGTGAGCGAATCCAAAGAGAGCTTAGTTGTCATGGATTCCCTGAAGATGCAGTATCAAAGACATGGTAGTCCCACTGCGGTATGTCGGTTGTTAGGTCCCACCACCTAGAAGGACAAATCATAATCCAACGGTTGTTGTGGGTGGTGGAAACTGGACAGTGGTGTACGTACCACTTTAGTTCTCTGATGTACACAGCACAGAGAAAGAGAGATCACCATCAGAAGGCGACTCAGACTCAGGTGGGAGTCCCAGGAGTCCACCCATGGCAAAGATCAACCGATCAAGATTACTAGATTAGGTGATGAGCGTGGAACATCCTCCTGCTCTCTTGATAAATTGAGAAACCACGACCATCGGGTGGGTCCCAGCCATGTGTTTGCAGCAAAGTGCCCATCACATCTACTGAATTGATATGATGGTGTTTGATGTTTGAACCCATAGAGTAGATAGAGTGCCTATATTTGGGAAAGAGGTGAAGACAAGCATCACCCTCCACACAACTTACTACTCAGTTCAAAGCCCATTCGAACAGTCATTATAGCCTTACATTGAGAATATTTTCGCATGAAATAAAGCATACAAGTATGGAGATGTTTTCAATTAAAGGTTGTTAAGACTGTTTTTCACACATCAGTGCCGCCCCATAACTATGGGTGGCAATTTTCTCCATCCCGGATGAGTACTTGGGCTCCTCGACCCCATTGGGTCGAGGATGGGAGGTACCTTGGCGGGGTCGGGGTCGGGGTCGAGGATGGGGCTACTCATGAATCCCTGATCGGGGATGGGGATGGGGACGGGGACAGGGAATGCAATCCCCGCCCCCACCCGTCCTCGATTAATATTATATATAATATAATATTATATATTATATAAGTATAATAATTATTAATTTATTTATAAAACAATAAAAACTAAAAGTCTAAAACATAATTCGAAGAAATCAAGAAAACTTGGAAAACCCTTAACCCTTGACTAAACCAGTTACCAAACTTCATTCTTTTGTCTTCGACAAAGAAGACTCAAGAGAGGCGACTGAACCACAAAACCAGTAAACTCTAGTTTCGTCTTCATCGCTGATTCATCGACCGTTGACTGTCAGTCGCCGTCGCCTACTGTTGCCACTGCCCACTCGCCCATCGGACATCGAACAAAGGAGAGGCCAGAGAACTGAGGAAGAGACTTCGTCTTCGTCGTCGATTCGTAAATCGCCGACCATCATTGCTGTCATTGTCACCGTTGCTGTCACCCTTCAGACTCTCTCTCATCAGTCATCATCGACATAAACTCTCCCAAGTCCTAATGGTTCTCTCTCTCTCTCTTAGTTTCAGGGATTCGGGTCTCTAACGGGGAATTCATCCCCATCAGAGTCAAGAATGGAGGGGGGATTCCTTTCCCCTTCGGGGATCGAGGATGGGGATGGGGGGTGATTTGAGGGTTAGGGTCGGAGATGGGGAATGTACTCCCTACCTTGAACCCGCCCCATTGCCATTCCTACCCATAACACCAGCAAGTCTAGATCTCTTCCTCACACAGTACGTCTCACACCGACCTCACAGCATGGCCACAGATCTGAAATATCTTCTGTATTTATATTTATTATTCAGGGGAGATGTTTTCAATAATAGAAGGTGGGATGTGGCTGTGAAATCAGGGTGAGGCACGGCTTGTGAGGAAGAGATCCCAATTCGACACCCGTTGATGCTCTCATTAATATAAAATATTATTTACTTTCAAAATTTCCAACATTCTATTGACTATTGTTTTATTTATTTAAATTTATAATAAATATACAGATCAACATTACTGTGATAAATGAAAACTAGGTAATAAATATATAGATCAATAATATAAATTTCAATTCCAACCTGATTTGAATCAGTTATGTCGAATTGGGTTCAAATAATACCCTAATTTGAATTCGATTGGATTTATTTGCATCCCTACAACAGCAGGTTTGACCAATGTCCCTCATGTGTACCCAAACTAGGTAATACAAAAAAAAAAAAAAAGAGTCGATGCCAATATTTATTAGACTAACTACCTCCTGGTTCCAAGGTTTTCATAATGAGTTATTAATCCTCAAACAACTTGGACGATGGATCGCCACCTTTATTTATTTGTTTGTTTCTTATTTATGTTTGTAGTAGCTAGGAAAGGTGAAAGTGAAACCTCTGTATATAAAGATAACGGAAAGTAACCGTCTTCTTAACTGTAGATTAGCATTACCTATGTTTTTATTTGGAGAGGTTGGAACATGCTAAAATTAGTTAAATTGCCTAATCATCCTATTCCGTAACGGTTCTGTTTTGCCATTCTATGCAGTCCCCACTCCACTCCAATGATGTCTAATCTGTGGTTCCACCGTACTGCATATGTAAGGTGGACAGGCTCCGCTAGT